ACCAACCTCTACAAGCTTCCTCATCACCAGCCAGCCCCTCCCTCCCTCCCTCCCTGCTGGGGCCTCAGACACAAGGCCTTTCATGGAGAGCTGCTCTTCAGGAGAACAGGTGGAGCCGACCAGTCCCTTCTGTAAAGGGCTAGGCCCCAGGACTCCACTGACCCTTGCTTGGGACTAGACATTTGCCCCAGCTGTCCCTCCCACTCCAGAAACAAAGACCCTCCTGCCCTCTCCATTCTCCCCATCGCTGCAGTGAGTCCTGGGGCAGAGCCGGCCTGGACTGGAGAAGAGAGATCCCAAACAAACCTAGGTCCCACTCCTCCCCGACCGGCTCGGTCAGTCAGGCCAGGGCTTGGACAAGCGGCCTGGACTGGAGAAGAGAGATCCCAAACAAACCTCGGTCCCACTCCTCCCCGACCGGCTTGGCCAGTCAGGCCTGAACATCTGTTCCTTACCACTTCTCATCCTCTTCTTCAGGGACTAAGAACCAGCGCTGCCTTTGCTGCAGAGTACAACAATCCGCCCCTCCCCTCCCTGACCCCCACTGCCACCCCCAAGCCCAGCTGCAGCAGTATCTCTCCTGTGTCCCTACTTTTTCACTGGGCTCTTGGGACCGCCAGTTCTGCTGTTAACAAACTGTCCCTCATCCTCAACCTACACCTTCACCTTAGAATTTACTCCATGTTAGGTCTGTCCACGTGTGAATATTTATGTGTACATCATGTCTCCCCACCAAATAGCATATCAGCTCCTTGAAGGCAGGCACCACTTCACTTCCGTCTGAATCCTCAGCACCCAGCACAGTACCTAGCTAGTATACAGCAGGCGCTAAATAAATGCTTGATGAACTGAAATGGTGCAGGAAAAAGTGGTTAGGTTCTAGAGTCCTATTAGAAATATACAGTATTTTGAAAATTATGGATTAAATCATTTGGGGTTGGCCTGGAAAGCAAACTACCATTTATAATAACACTGTTCCTTTTGGGGAAACTGTCCAAACATCTTATTGAAGTTCAAAATTCTAGAGGACAGTTCAGAACAGGAGAAGGTTCTAAATCCTTCCTGTCAGATTTCCCAAACATGACGTGCCAGGCAGTCACGTGGTCACGGACAGAGAAGCAACTTTGGAGTCCGGAAGATGAGAAATTCAAGACCGGCAGCCGTGAGGATCCGGGTGACCATGGATAAGGAATCCCTTAGTCTCTCAGCAAATTTCGAGGAGCAGCCGATTTCCAAGGATGGAGGGAGTCTCCTCCACACAGCACCCTCAAAACATATTTTGTTTTCCTTGGCGACTCCTCGCCTCTCCCTCTCCACGAGCTCTTCCACTGTCCTGCTCTATTCGGCAAGAAAGCCATAAAGAGGACTAGCAACAAGTTTCTGTCTGTCCGCTCGAGGCCAAAAACAATTCAGCAGAATAGCTGAGAGAGATCAGAAAAGGATTCATCACTTTACATCCAACTGTCTCACACTGGAAAGGGAAGGAATAACTCCTCAGGATGCAGACAACCCTAGCACTTTCCAAGTCATAACTACCATCCGGCAGCATCTCTTCCAACAGGCAATAGCAGGGCTTCAGCAGAGCCAGCCTTTTTCTTCCTTCTGCAATCAAAGCTTGATGGTCTAATAGGTTGACCCAAGAGTTGGTGCCAATTTACCAAAACTTCCCTTGCAAATCTTTGAATCCAATCAATTTCCCCAGGTGGCCTTATGGTTTCCCTTGCTCTGCCTTCTAAATTTCAGTCTATATCCAGGTTTTTGATCTGAAATCTAAAGCTAAACACAGAAATCCCTTTGAAGGCAAACACATATGTAAAGCAGTCAAGGTTCAGAGTGAGAAAGAAGAGAATATCACATGCATGAACAAGGGCTACAACATGTTTTAAACTCATTCAAGGAAACAGACATGGAAAATAATCTCAAAAATACTGTTTAAATTTTTAAAATAATTCATTCTTTATAGCGAAGAAAATTAAGTTATGCAAATAAAAGTACTCTCCAGCTCATAAAGGTACCTGATGAAATATGACCGGACAGAGATGGCATGTACATATAAGATTACCTTTACTGCATCGATGTTGGTCTATTAGACTTTAAGACTTGGATATTAAGAAAGGCAACCTCTACAGCCCTTTGGAGTCAGGAAAAGCACATTTGGGACTCTATTCCCAAGGTTTCTATTTACTTTTCAGGCGGTACTGCTATTTGTACTTGACCAGCATACTATCTGTAGAGAAAGGTTACTTGGCTTGCTTTTCCTTTATGGACAATTTCCTCTCCTTACCCCTCTGTCTCTGCCTTGACACTAACCTCCTCATTATGCCTCTGCTGAATACTTTCAGCAGGTGAAGAGAAGAGTACTACCCCTGTAGCAAACACAGGTAAGAGTTTTTAGCGACTGCTGCTGAGAAATGATACACTGTCTCAATGACAAAATAATCCAAAACACATGCTAACCACATGGCATTACATATAAACACAGAATAATGTCAGGTTAAGCCATAAAATCACATCTTCCAAGCTATCAGCAAAATTTACTAGATACACCATACTTGAGTGAAATGATGTGGCATCCTTAACTATCATTAAGAAACCATAAGGTTAAGTCATTTAACTATTTAATGTTAACCTATTTAATAAAAGATTTAGTTTACCACATTAGAGCTTAGAATTATAGCCAAAGCCATTCTACACAATTAGGCAAAGGGCTTTTTTCCCCCTTAAGTCCTTACTATACTCCACGGACTTCACCAAGATTGGGGAAACAAGGAAAGTCGAAAACAGTCCCTCCAAGGTCCTTCTGATCTACTCTAACAGGAAGACAGCCTGCAGAGTAAGGGTTTCTTCATACAACTCTACCCCTGAACTTAAAACTGCACACAATAAAAACTGTGTGACTCCAGGTCATGTGACAAACCAGAGCCAAGCTCAAAGCTGATCTGGCCATCTCAGAAGCTAGGCCAGATCAATCAATCAACAAACACTCCCATGAACCGGGCAGCTCAGTCCTGCAGACAGAAAGCAAGCCTTAGAGGAAGGTTAAGCTAGGTTCAATTCCCCATCTGATGCCGGCTGGGTGGGGAGCTGGGGCTAATCATTTGTGCAACCTCTCAGTGCCGCAGACAACCTCTAAGACCATAGGTTACCTAAATGACTTAGACACAAAGGGTTAGTACAAACAAAACCAATGCAGTCAAAATTTGAAGGAAAGCAGGAAACTGGGGGGAAAAAAACTTGACAGTAAGTTTCCCTGATAAAGATCTGATTTCTCAAATAAATAGGAAACTGAGTCAAATGTATAAAAATCTGAGTCATTTCCCCATTGATAAATGGTTCAAAGGACATGAATAACCAATTTTCAGAAGAAGAAATCAAAGCTATCTACAGCCACATGAAAAAAATGCTTTAAATCACTGCTGATTAGAGAAATGCAAATCACACCCATCCAATTGCCTAACCTGACAGAAAAAGAAGATGGCAAATGCGGAAGGGGATAGGAACAGCGGACACTAAAGCACTCCTGGTGGAGTTGTGAACTAATCCAACTACTCTAGAGGACAATTAGGAACTAGGCCCAAAGGGTGATAAAACTGCACCTTACCCTTTGACCCGACAATACTAGGCCTGCACCCCAAAGAGGTCAAAGGAAAAGGACCTATGTGTACAAAAACATTCGTGGCAACTCTTTGCAACGGCAAAGCATTGGAAATTGAGGGGTGCCCGTCGTTTGGGGAGTGGCTGAGCAAAGAAAACTGGAGTTACTGGGCAGAGGTGGGACGTGGCCAGGTCTGTGCTCTGGAAACATCACTCTGACAGATGCTCACAGTGCACGACACTCAAAGGTTTTCCAACGGGCCTAGACCAAACCAAAGAGCAGAGCTGAATTCCTCTAAGGGTCTGAGCAGAAAGAGACTTTCCTTTTAAATTTCTTTGGCCTGAACACAGGACTATAGTAATTACACCCCAAGTATATAATGTACTTTATATAAAAATATAAACAACTCACTCACTCTGAATTTGGTGGGGGAGGAAAAGAACGATGACCTTTGACCAAAGAATGAATTTCAGACTCATAGAAGCTCAATGTTAGAACATCTAGTCAAGCCTGTACAAGCCTAAACAAGAACGCTTGTGTTCATCCAACCTTTGATTTCTGACTTCTCCTGAGTGGAGGGTCCACTGTGGGACGGCTCTCGTTGCCGTTAAGTTGCTTTTGGTTTTTGGTTTATTTGTTTTTCCCTGAAGTCCAGCCTAAACCAGTGTCTCTAGATATAAGCCCTCTGTGTTTAGTCAATCAGATCCCTGAAGACAGCTCTGAAGGCTCTCCTCCTCACCCTCACCCCCAAATCTCCTTTTCTCCAGGCTTATCCCCAAGGCTTCTTTTCTCTCAGTGTCAGTGGCCAAGAGTGAGAAGAGTAAGGGAGTTCAATCAAATGGAGAACAGCTGAACAAACTGTGATACATGAATGGAATAAAATTTTACTGTGCCATAAAAACAAGAGAATTTAAGAAATACGGAGAGACTTAGATGAAATGACACAGAGCAAAGTCAGCTGACAGACAGGAGAAATTTATACAATGACCATAATAATGCAAGGGGCAACAAATCTGAAGGACCCAGGGACTCTGAAGCAGTGCCCAATGGTGATTTCATAAAGACTGTGAATAAAACATCTTTCATCTCTCACAGAGAAGCAATGGACTAGACGTACAGAACCAGATCAGACAAGCTGTTGATTTGTTTTCCCTGACTGTACATATTTGTAATATGAGAATGTTTCTAGAAGGAAGAGGTAAGTTGATAGAGCTAGACATGGAAAAAAAAGTCAATATTGTATTCCCCAAAATTAATTATTTTAATTGCAAAAGATTCCTTAACAAATTAAGGTGGTTGTACTGATATTTAATATTAAATTTTCAATAAAACTTAATTTCTAAAAAGTGAATATTTACTGGGAGAATATACAATCAGATTGGGAAACCTAACAAAGGAGGGGTACCTGCTGCATTTGGCCCGACGTCTCCTTGGGCCTCTTGTCATCACCTCCTTGTAAATGCTCCAGAGCCTTCACACAGACATCCCTAGAACTGAGGAGGTAAACAAAAATGAGAGCTGGAGTCAGCCCTACCAGCCAACAAGTACTCATTATGCACCTACTAGAGCCAGGGACTATGCTAAGCACTAGGGCATAAAGGCAAAAAATAAACAGGCCCTGCCCCCAAGGAGTTTCTATTCTATTGGGTGAGATAGCATGGACATCTAAGTATACACAAAAATGGACAAGGCACCCGGAGCTGGGGATCAGGAAGGGCCTCACCGAGCTGAGCTACGGAGGACATGACATACATACATTCCATGTACGTATATACTGCATATGTGGACGCAGACTTCATTCTATACAGGAATAGTCACGAGCCTTCTCAGTCAAACCAGGCAACCCAGAAACCAAATCATCCAGGTATATTTAGCCTAACGCAAGGATCAGTCTACAGTTCAGTTCAACCAACGATAAGCCCCTGCCCTGTGGGAGGCACTGAACATACAAAGCACAAAATTAAAATCGCTCCTTCCTCTCCCCTCCCCCTCTGCATTCTGGGGGGGGGGGGTGATCTGGCACTTCAAATCTGGCTTCCAGGCTTACAAAAGCCCATTAAGGCAGGTCGTACCAGAACCGTTCTCCCCATGGTACAGATAAAGAAAAGAAAGTTCAGGGAACAGAATGCTTTGTTGGAGCAGAAGGTCCCACCCCCACGCCGTCCTGCACCCAGGGATGGCATCCTTGGCGTTCAGACCACACTCCTCTTTAATTTTTTGGCAGCGATCACTGAGGAGACATTTCTGGAGACTCACTAGACAACTTCTGAGGAGTCCATGCGACATGACTATTCTGTAACCCTCTCTAGCTTTTGCTGTAGATTTGACTATAAGCACAGACACTAGAGGTCAAGGTGTGGGCCTCTCTCTGAAAGGACCAACGCTTTCTGCTCATTTGCTCTTCCTTCTCTTTGCGGCCTAATGTTTAACAAGTCTAATCACAGGCCTTCAAGAGAGAAGAACCAACCCTTGGTGACTTGATCCAAATCCTTATTAAGCCTCTGACCTTTCCCCACATTGTTTCTTCAGTGTCAAAAAGACTGAGCTTCGAACGGCAGCCTCACTGGGCTCGACAAAACCCACCCACTCCATCTCAGTCACAGATCTCTTATGTTCTACACATGAAGCACATGACTTCGAGGCCAAGCGCCATTAGCCTGCTTCAAATGAGCTGAATACAGTGCAAACAATTCCCCCGGGGGATACGTGTATATAAATCATTCTTTACTCTTTCTCGATTTCCAAACTTTATAAAAGAAACCAAACCTCTCTTCCTGACTTCTCGATGATTGCTGAGGGGGCCTCTCCTCCCCCACATCCAATCAGCTGTCAACTCCTGTCATTTTCACCTTCATAATATGTCTCAACATGGGCTAAGCTCATGGGAAATCCTTTTAGCAGCTCCATGGAGCATGGATTGGGGTGGGGACAGATTTGAGGCAGGAAGACCAATCAGAAGTTACTGCGATATCAGGGCTTAAAAGCACCTGAACTAAGGCAGGGGCTGTGTGAGTGGAGAGAAGGGTCCAATGAGAGAGAGGTAGGTTATAGAGGTAGAAAACATGGCCAACGAATGCATGTGTGGGAACACGAGAGCAAGTGAGGAGTCAAGGATGACACCTAGGTGAGCCTGGTAGATAAGAAGAATGGTGGTAACCTTCAACAGAACAGAAAAGTTTGGAAGAGCTGGGAGCCATCTGAGGGAAGACGGAGATGAGAAGCTCCGTTTTGGACATGTTGAGTTTGCGATGTCTCTGAGGTATCTAGTTCTCAATGCCCAAGAAGCGATTGGTGATGTGGAAGTGAACGCTCAGGAGAGAGTCTGGGGCTGGAGGTCAGCTCTCCCTGTTCTCTGACTCATCAGTCCCTTTGTGGTCCCCTTCCTTTCCAACTTGTGCCCAGAAGTGCCTTTGAAAAATTCCTCCTTCTCTATTACACATTTGATCCAAAATTAACCAAGATTATCACTACCATAGGAAACTTGAAGAGAGAAGTACCAGTAACAAGGAAAAAATTTTAAGTGAAATTCAAGAAAAGAACCGAAAACACTTGACAGGAGGTGCAAATTGCCTTCTTAAATCTGTACCAAGTCTACTTCCTCATTCTCCTTATGGGACCTGCCTTTTGACAAGCACCTTCACGGAAAATACATGATAAACTCTTACTTTTTTGTTTTATTTACTAACAATCAGTACGGTTTGTTTTATTTTACAAGAAGAGTATTTTGAATATTACATTACAGTAACATAAATTAAGCAGGTTCTTTGGTGGGTTCACCTAGAAATTTTCTGATTTAGTTCTGATTAGTTTCTAATAGGAAAATCTATACAGACCCCATTACAAACTTGGGGTGAAATATGGGGAGAGAGAAATACTAGCGACCTACTGAGAGTCCCTGAATTGGTCCAAATGAGCTGAGAAGCCACTGAAAATTCTCCAGAGAAGGCATGAAACTGGACCTGCCCTTTAGTACTCAGCACAGGGCTTGACACGTGGCAGGTGCCCAATGAACACTTGTTAGATTGATTCGAGGTCTGCCATACCACTGCTGTGCATATATCTGAAGAGGTCAAACACAGAAGGAAAAGTGCCAGCTAAATAAAACTACTCCTAGAAGGACTTTTCCTATCAGGAAAGAAATAGAAACAAAGTTGGTGGCCCCCCATTAGGGAAGCACCCAACAAACTGGGGTGAAGGGCGGCGTGACAGTCTTTTGCCATGCGAGAAAACAAATATTAAAAATTTAAAGAAACTTGGTAAGACTTTAGACAAATGGATTCTGGGCAAAGGAAGCAGAACCAAGAGAGCAATGTACCCTACAGAACTAGGAAAAGGTGACAGAAAGAAAACATGGCACAGCTTGTCAACACAATGGCCAGCCCTGAGTTCAAAGGGAAGCCTCACTTCCTCCACTTTCCCAAGGGGTGGCAGGCTCCAGGTGCAAAGGCCCACATCATCCCCCCCGAGCAAGCACAGGTCAGGCTCTGTTACAAGGAACGCTTCTACTGGGAAGGGAAGGATGCTGGGGAACAAGACAGTTATAAAAAGAAGTACAAATAAAACATTTTTAAAACAGTATTTGTAAAAAGGGACTGAGTAAGATCCTGGCCCAGGAGCACAGGTAAGCTACCTGAAATGTTCACCGCAATGGGTGGCACATGGGTGATCTTAGAGAGGGGGGCTGGCTGGCAAAATTGCAAAGCAGAAGGAACGGTTTCGTTCTTGGTATTTATAGCTCTAGGACTCATCACAGTGCCTGACACATAGCAGGTGCTCAATCAATACCTGCTGATTGATTTAGAAACCAACAGACCTGGAGTCTATGTATCGTTCTCTTACTATGGCAGTTAGGTGGGGTAAAGTAGACAGAGTGATGGGCTTGAAGTCACAAAGGTCTGAGTTCAAATTCAGCCTCTGACACTTGCTAGCTTGTGACCCTGGGCAAATCACTTAACCTGTCTCAGTCTCCTCATCTGTAAAATGGGGACAAAAATATCACCCACCTGCCAGGATTGTTGTGAAGACCAAATGAGATAATATTTATAAAGTCCTTTGCATAGCTTAAAGTACTATAGAAATGCTAGCTATTATTTTTTCAATATAGCTGTGTCATTCTGAACAGGTCTCTCAACCTCCGAGAACCATGATTCTTCACTTGAAAAGGGGTAAGAACATGATTTCTAGGGTTCTCTCTAGCGTTAATGATCCACAAGTCTATGAGAATACTGAATTGACCAGACTATCCCATTCCTGAATCACTTTGCATAAAATATAAGCTTACTAAAAAGGGCATTTTACACAGTATTTTCAAGTAACCTATTAACAGTGTTTCCACCCCTAAAAAATTACAAGTGGGAAAAAAAAGGAAAATTAATAGAAATGAAATGAACTGAAGGAAGAGTTCTCTCTTACCCTTGTGGAGAGAAAGATATAAAAACGCATTAACTACCAAAGAAATATATTTTTTTAAAATATCTAAATATCAACTAGTCAGAATAAAAATAATTCTAAGGATTGAAGTCAGAACACCTAATCTAAGGACATATACATGCATATGTCATTTCTGTAAGAAAACAATAAGAAATGAAAATACCAATAAAAAGGTTTCTGTTTTCTTTTTTAATCCTATAAATGACATATCTGAAAGAATCTCACACCCCTATCTCATTTTCACAGTTGCTAAGTTCAGTATATTGGTTTTCTTCGCTAAGAAATTTCCCCTTTCAGTCTGACTTCACATAGTCCTGATTAGGCTTCGTTCACATCTGCCCAAGGCTGGAGCTTCTACATTTGTTGTGATCAAGGACAAGGCAGCTTTAACTAATTCTCTTACTAGAGATAGCATGATGCATCAATGCTCCTGGCCTCCTCACCTTGGTACAAAAGCAACCACAAATAACAAACATCCTGTACCAGTTTAGGGCAAGAAAGAGACATGCGTAAAACAATATGACTGATGTAAAAAAGAGCAGAGCCTTGTGACACCATTCTCATTATCATATAGTTTCAAGCATCACAGGTCAAATCCTTCCTGTCCAAACATTACTAAGATAGGCCTAACATAAAGGGGAGAAGGGAATCAATGATAGCTACGGTATCATCTACCGGAAAATTCAGTCCCAGTTGACAAGCTAGGAAAAATCTGCCCATAAGATACATTTTTAAATGTGATGAGGATTTTGCCAGATTGTATCAAAGGTCTTTCTGGCCAATGCAATGCAAGTAGCAACAACTCACTCAAACTGAAATTTCATTAAAACAATTACAATGCGGTTACATTTTTAGAAAGTGATGATGGAATAACTGGCTTCAAAAGAGAACCAAGTAAACTGAAGGCAACCTTTGAAAAGCTCAAAAGAAGAACGTTGCCAATTAATCAAACAGCAAGCTTGCTAGATACTTAGAAATGTTGGGGATTCCAAACTTCACTGGCAGATAGTCCTATATTATTATATGCATGTGTTAAATCTATAATGTGGAAGTACTAGCCTGAAACAAGCAGTCATACTCAAAATTAATTTCATTAAACGCCATACCTTGCAGATCTGCTGCTAAAAGCCCACTTATTGCAAAGCTTCACAAGCAGTCAATAGCAGACAGCTTTCTATTCACAAAATAAGCTGAGGCTTTTCTTTTAATGGACATCCGTCCCATCACCCTCCCAAGGATAGGCAGCATGAAAGCTTCCTCTGTGGGCCCACTGAGGGTCTATCTACACCCTGAGATAGGCTGACAAGCTGACAAAGCCTCCAGAGGCTTATCATCAAAGAAGACTGGTCATCTCCTCAGTCATGGAGAAGTCAAGGAAAGGAAGAGCCCAAAGACATGTGTCTAGGATATTAATGACATAGAGAGAGACAGACACACAAGGGCACTGTCATTGCCCAGAAAGACTTAAAATCCAGAAGATGCAGTTAAGTTCTTCAACAGCTCTTTTCATACAATGCCAAACAATGACCTACAAACATTTCCACATACTGGCCTCCAAGTGCTGCCAGCTGTATGACCTAGAACTAGCCCCTTAACCTCCCGAGCCACGCTTTCTGTAAAATGGGGATAATAATGTCTGCAATACACATGGCTCTTAGGGCTCTGGCATGGGAAAAGAGGAGCTGAACCCTCTTTGCAAACCTGAAAGTATCCTAGAAACATCAGTATCACTGTGTGCAGTTCCACAAAACATACTTTCCATCCAAGCTCAGTTTAGCTAACGCCAACCACGACCTCCACCATCCTTCTCCTCCTTCTCCAGACTCTTGTGCTGAACTGCTTCTACCAACAGGCTTCCACACTGCCCGCTGCCCTTATCACGGGAATAAGGGCGGCCCCTGGCTCAAGCCAGTGCCCCGGACAGACTGGTCCTCCGCACAACTTAGCAAACCACCCTTCTTCTCACAATCCATGCACCACCCTCGCAGAATCTGAGATGGGAAGGACCCAGTGACAAATCCTAACTCAGAGTAGCAGACTGCTTTACAGACAGGGCTTCACTGGAGCAATCCTGGGAGATCAGCGGCTGACCCTGTGACTTACACTTCAGAGAGGAGGAAACAGAGGGGCTGAGCGCTCCACCTTGGGATTCGAATCCAGGTTTTCCCGTCTCGAGCTGTGTGCTCTATCCAGCCTGGGGGGGGGGGGGTGTCTCTCTGTCTGTCGTGTGTGTTGGTGTGTAAAACCCGTGCCCCTTTGGGGTGACTATCAGGATTAGAAAAGTCCAGCCCATGCCAGCTGACAAGCCCCCTGCCCTCTGACCGGACACCTGGGGTGAATGGGTGAAGGATGAAGCTCAGCTCTGGCTGGGGCCTCGGGGGCCTCACCACCCCCCCAGGACGTGACGACGTCCTTGGGGAGCCCCTGCTCCCCAAGACCCGGCCCCTCAAAGGCCTTGGCTGGGCCAGAATCCAGACCTGGAACAGCTCCCATAGAGCGGGGGAGGGGATGACAGCAAAGGCCAAGGCAGATCCCAAAGTGGCCGGGCCAGGCGCCGGGCACTGGGTTTGAATTCTGACTCCTCGGGCCGGCCTCAGTTTACCCAGATGCATCCTTCCACCTTGAGATGGCTCACCCCAACCCTGACTCGGGCTCTGGGTGGGGGGGCTCGGGAGGGTCGCGAGTTCGAGCCCATCTGTCACCCCCAAGCCAACCTCGGGACGCCCCTGGGCCAGCAGCAAGGCAGCCCCCGCCCCTCCCCACGAGACCTACGGAGGCTCAAGCCTTTATTAAGTGTCTCCGTGCAGGGCCGGGGCTAGGAACGGGGACAGAGCGACGGGTGGGCCCCAGCCTCAGTTTACCTGCCCGTAACAAGGGGCTCTCCCACCTCGGCCACCGACCGCCTGACTAGCCTCGGGCCGCGATCCCGGGGCTGGGTCCCGGTCCGAACCCAGCCTCTCTCTGCAAGGGCAGAGAAGCGCGACGGCCCCGGGGACCGGGTTCGAATCCTACCAGGGACGCCCGTCAGCTGGGTGACCTTGGGCCGGTCACGCCCCATCTCCGGGTCCCGAGAAGCGGGGCAGGACCCGCGGGGCCTGGGTTCCAATCCCCCCCGTGACCTTGGGCCGGTCGCGTCCCCTCCCCCGCTCCGGCCAGGCGGACCTCAGTTTCCCCCGGCTCCCCCTGCGGGGTCTGGGCCGGCCGGCGGCGGCGACGAGCCACCCCTCCCCGGGGAGGGCAGGGGCCGGGCGCCCCGGGGCCGGCGAGGCAGCCGCGGGCCCCGGAGCTCCGGCGGCCGGGGGCGCTGCGGGGCCGGGGAGGCCGGGGAGGCCGCGGGCAGGGGCGGGCCGGGCCCCGCCGCTGCTTACCTCTGCTAACATTACTAAACCCCGGGAAGCGCGCTCGCCCCTAGCCCCGCCGCATGGCCACGGCCGGAGCCGCCGCCGCCGCCGCCGCCGCCGCTCGTCCCGCTGCGCCCCGGGCCCGGGCGGCGGCTTCACTCGGCTCCGCGGGGGGCCCCCGCTCCGGCTCCTCGGCACGGCTGCGCCGCCATCTTGGGGAGCGACGTCCGCGGCCCCGCGCAGCGTGCGCGCCCATTGGCCGGCCGGGGCCGCCGCCGTCACGTGGGACGGGTCGCCATGGCGCCGGCGCCGGGCGCTGAGAGGGGCGGGGCGAGGGGCGGGGCGAGGAGAGGAAGGGGAGGGGACGGGGAAGGGGGGGAAGGGAGGGGTAAAGGGCAGAGGGAGGGGAGGGGAGGGGAGGGGAGGGGAGGGGATGAGAGGGAGAAGGGGAGAGAGATGGGGAAAGGGGGTGGAAAGGCAGAGGAGGAGAGAGGGATGCAGAAGGATGGGGCGGACGGAAGGAGGGGAGCCCAGCCCAGGGACAAGCCCAAACCAGAGTCTCCGAATTGGGTATAGGGGCAGCTAGATGGCGCAGTTGATAGAGTTCGGGCCCTGGATTCAGGAAGACCTGAGTTCAAATTTGGCCTCAGACACTTGACACTCACTAGCTGTGTGACCCTGGGCAAGTCACTTAACCCCAATTGCCTTAACCAAAAAACAAAAAAAGAATTGGGCATAAATCCCTGCTCTCCCCCTGAGTAGTAACAATATTATTAATAATAACAGCTAACATTTGCGTAGCACCCACAATGTACCAGGCACGAGGCTAAGCACTTTATGATTATTCTCTCATTTGATACAACAACCCTGGGAGGTAGGTGCTGCTAGGATGCCTGGCTTTACAGATGAGGAAACAGGGTGAAGTGACTTGCCAGGGTCACACAGGGAGTAAGTGTCTGAGGCCAGGTTTGAGCTCAAGTCTTCAGCCTTCAATATATAATAATTTTAGGTCAATAACTTTATAACAATACGTAACCTTCACACTTGCAGAACGCTTTTCTAATGCTGTCTTCATTACAGCCAGAAGAGAGATCTGAGAGGGTCCTAACTCCACCTCCCTACCCGGCTGAGGAAACTGAGGCCCAGGAAGGTCAATGGATGAACCGAGTCTGGAACAGGGACTTAACATCTAATCCAGAGCCCGGATCCTGCCTTTACAGAGGAGACAACTGACTCTGGGGAGAACGTGCCCGGCCCGGCCAGCTCCTTCCCCCCAGCCATGCTAGGGAAGCCACAGTCCCCACAGCACTGGATTGCTAAGAACGATGAGTCCAGGGGAAAAGAAAGCTTGCAAGAGCCGAGGCTCCAGGGGAGTGCAAGCACAGAGGAAGACATGCTGAGGGGCCGGTATTCTGAAACGTCCAATGTTGGCCTGCAGGATGGCACAGGAGGACAGTTTCCTGAGGATCCAGAAAGATCCTCCCTAGATTGTGAGCTCCCCGAGGGCAGGCCTTCCTTTTTCCAGGCAGGCGCTTGGTAAGTGTTTATTGGCTGACTAACGCAGGTTCCTTAAGCATCATACTTCCCTGGAGAGACCAAGACAAGATGCTCACATTCTGGTGGGAGAAGGGGCGTCATTTCAAGGACCCTGCGATGTCATCCTCTTGGTTCTCCCTGGATCCAGGACGCTCACAGCTCAGGGATTTACTCAGTCATCTTGGAGAGTTGTGGAGGGGGGACCACCTCTGCCGCCAGTCAGTGAGAAGCTTCTCTTCTTGACCTGTCCAGGGTGGAAGGACCTTGTGCTCACTGGTGGAGACTCTGGAGGCCAGCTCCACCTCCATGCCCTTGGGGGCATCCGTGGGGGCGTGGCCCATCCTTGCTCCCACCCCTCCTCGATAAAGGGAGGCAAGGGAGTCATGGCACCCCCCCATTTGCCTGCCCTCCTCTCCATCAAGTCTTTGAGAAGAAGCTGTGCGCATAAGGGTGACAAAAAGAAGGCAGCCTTTATAGACAACCTGCTGGAGAAGAGCACATCTTCACCACTCCCTCAGTTGTTAGAGAGACAGAGACTGCAAAATCCTACTGCGATTCTTGTTTAATTACCAAAAACAGTAATAATTGAAAACCAACCATTTTAACAGAGGTGATCATTCAACAACGTGTCTCCCATGACTAGGTCACTCCAATTCCTCTCATCACACATTGAGCGTTTGGTCTAGGTAAGAAACAGAAATCCAGGCGGGTCTGGGTGCAGATGTTACCCCGGACACATGCTGACTGTCTGGGCCTGGAAAGTCACTTTTCCTCTAAAAGCCCCCACGGCTCTCCAAAGCTGCAACCTGCAGTTGCAATTTGCCAGTCTCCATGGGCAGAGAAAGCTCCTTCTTCAAGACTTCCATTATGCCAATAAACACACAGGTCCTGCCTCAGCACAGTCTGTCCGAGCGTAAGGCACCAGGATCTGAAGATAAGGACAAGGGCGTCTTTGGACGTCGTGTTGTACTGGGGGGTGCTAATGGCATGTGGAAAAATAAGGAAGTGGAAAATAAGTAATCCGGAGGGTGGGAGAGAAGAGTCTGAGCCAGGGGGGTCAGACAAGGCTTCAAGGAGGGTGGAGACCTAAGCCCCAGAGCCTCGAACAGAAGGAGAAATGAGGAGAGGACACTTTCCAGCCATGGAGGCAGAGCAGACCATGCGTGGGGAGATGACATGTCATATGTGCGTGTCGTGTATCAAAGGGAGCAAGGAATCCAACTTGCTGCAAATCAAAGTATAAGAGGAATGATTGCGGGGGAGGAGAAGCAGAAAAGTAAAAAGGGTGCCATATTGTGAAAGGCTTTGAATGCCAAACAGGAATTTGGTTTTATTGACACAGCTACGATGCAATGGATCTTCCTCAATGCAGGGAATGTTGATATGCTCAGATGACCTCTATGAGATCCAGGGTGCCTTAAATGAATAAATGAATGAATGAATACATAGATAAATAAATAAATGAATGAATGAATGGATAGACAAATAAAGACTAGGCAAGTAATAATAACAACTGGCATTTAACATTTTAAGGTTTGCAAAGTCCTTTCTATGACATCTTATCCTCACAGGAACCCTTAAGGAAGGTATTAGTTACTAGTCTTCCCATTTTACAGATGAGGAAACTGCGGCTGGTTTGTACAGGGTTATAGCAAGTGGCGGAGTTGGGATTTGAACTCAGGTCTTCCTGGCTCTACTCCAGACACTGCACCACCCAACTGTAATTCTAAGAGGAAGAATGTGTGGTGCCCAGGTTATGGCGAACGGCTGCAGAGGTCCCATTAGTACATAACCGTGGACAATCATCCGGTCCCAGGAACGAGTAAACACATCAGCATCAACATATCATGCTTTAAGGTTTACAAAACGTGTTCCGATGACATTCCCCAGTAACTTCTGACTCACCTACAACTCACTGGTCTGATAACTTCAATAATTCAAGGAACTCCTGGGAAAAGGAAGAAAGCCAAAGCAGACGGCCCAAAGGGAGGCAGCATGGCCTAATGAAAAGATCACTGGCTGTGGCATACCAGGCTCTGGGTTCAAATACTGCATCTGATGCTTGCTGCCTCTGTGACCTTGGGTATGTCACTGGACCTCCGTTTCCTCGTCTACAAAATGAGGGGGCTATGCTGGACACAACCAGTAGAAAAATGAGGAGGTTTGCTTTAAGGCATCCAGACTTAGGAGGACCTTCCAGTCCAGCCAACCCCAGATTTCCAGAATTTGGGTGTGGTTGCCTCTGAGGGTCCTCCCAGTGCTGGTGCCCCCCAGGGGGAGGGGTGGTAGAGAAGGGGGCAGGCGTTAGGAGCCCACCTGTCTCACCTCTTGCAGAGGAGGAAATGGAACCTCAGAAAGAAACCAACATTTGTCCAAGGGCCCCCAATTAGTTAGGCTTAACATTGGTTTCCAAAGCTGGTGTCTCCTAATTCCATTTCCAGCACTGTGGCCCAGGGGTGGGGAACCTGCAACCTTGAGGCCCCATGTGGCCCTCTAGGTGCTCAAGTGCGGCCCTTTGACCAAATCCAAACTTCACAGAACAAATCCCCTTCACAAAAGGGTTTGTTCTGTAAAACTTGGACTCAGTCAGGAGGTCGCACCCAAGGACCTAGAAGGCCACACGTGGCCTTGAGGTTGCAGGTTCCCCACCTCTGGTCTATGCTATCAAAGAGGGAGAGGTTTCATATTCACCTGGGCCCTCAGAAAACCTCTCTGGGCCTAGGGATATTTCCCTGAAAAGTGCAAGGCCTGACTAGGATGACCTCTTAGGAACCCTGATGTTCCAGGCTGTTCTCCGAACATCCCCTTAGGCATTTCTTTCCCTGTTTGTCATCCCTGTGGGCTCAAGGTGAGGGGCCACAGAGAGTGTGTAGACTGAGAGGGCAGCGGATCCATATCCCCTTAGAAATGGCTCTCCTCAAAACCGTCTTGTTTGATCTTTGGACTCGGGAAATGTAAAACAATGAGGGTCTGTTCTGCTCCCAGCAAAAGCAAAAGCCTTCTCTCTTCTCTCCATCTCCTCCCCTCCTCTCTCTCTCCTTCTCTCTCTCTCTCTTTTCTCTCTTGTCTCTCTTCCTGTTTCTCTTTCTCTCTGTCTCTGTTTTTCTCAGCCATTTTTCTGGGTGGATTGTTATACAGGCAGCCTGTGTTCTCTTTGTGCCCAAAGGGACAGAATTGGCCAGAAGTCCTTGTAAGTACCCAAATTAATCAGGTCATTTTCAAAGCTTAACCAGTCTGGGGTTTGAAGCCGGGAGGCCTGAGGTCAGCACCCAGCTCTGCTCTTCACCTTGGGCAACGTGTATAACCTCTCTGGGCCTGGATCTATCCTGCTGTTAGAAAGGAGCAATGATCTAATAGGCTTATTGCGTGTGTAGTATGGAATATTGGCCTTGTGGCTCTGATTGCTTCTATGGGCCTCAGATCAAGTCCAGGTAAATCTATGACAAACACTATGGACAAACTCCTAAGCCGAGGACAGCGTCAAGTGTGTCTCTGCACACAGGAAGCAGTGTGGTAGACTGGAAGGACCTGGGTCCAAGTCCTGTGTCACTTTGGACAAGTTG